TCACGTGCTCGTGCTCGACTCAACAATACTCAGTTCAATTACACACACTGTTCCGTCACGTTGTGACCGTCTTATATATACAAGACTAACACATATCTAATAAACGCTAGAGCATTCATGAAGGAGCAGGATATTTCTAGAAGTCACGTGACCCCGATGTCGTAACAATATTTAGCTGCATGATGTTCTAGGAAACCAGAAATTACATCGCTCTGCTTTTGTAGGCTTTTTTCTTTTAATTTTCGTTCTTTTCTTTTTTCTGCACGGAACTGGTATACCCTTTTCATTTTCTTACTACACAATGCGATAAGAAAAAAGAACACACTTTCACTTTAAAAAGTCACTAAATTTCCTTCTGTAAGGCGCTTGCAGCAGTTATACCCACTTTGATTTGTTTGTTTGTTTGTTTGTAGTTAAGCACAAAGCTACACAATGGGCTATCTGATCTTCCAACCACGAGTACCGAAACCCGGTTTCTAGCGTTGTAAGTCTGCAGACATACCTTTACGCCACTTTTGGATGCTAGTTAACTGAACATCACTTCTCAGGGCAAAATAGCCACAGGGCGGCAAAATGCATGTTGCAACTTATGGTTACAAGTTGAAAACTGATGCCTTTCTCGCATATAACGACGCTGCTCATGTGTGTTGCAAAGGTTTGCCAACTTTTTAAAATATAATTATGGGAGATAAATGTGTGTGTGTATTCATATATAGTATTTAATAATTGGAGGCATATAAAGGCTAATAATAAGCTTTGTTTCGTTTGTTATGGATTTAGCGCAAAGCTACACGAGGGTTATCTGCGCTAGCCGTCCCTAATTTAACAGTGGAAGACTAAGGGAAGGCAGCTAGTCATCACCACCCACCACCAACTCTTGAGCTACTCTTTTTACCAACGCATAGTGGGATTGACCATCACATTATAATGCCCCCGCGGCTGAAAGGGCGAGCATGTTTGGTGTAACTGGGATTCGAACCCGCTACCCACAGCGCTCTAACCACATGGCCATGCCGGGCCTTAATAATATGCAAGTGATATGTTGATAACAATTCAGGTATTTAAAGAAAACTATTTCCAAAATAATGACAAACTTTTATTTTCAAAAATATGTACAAAAGTACCAAATTAACAATTTTGATTTTATATAAGAAATATTTCTTTCAATTTATACTTATTTTCACTATAAGATAACATTTTATAAAATTTGAAACATGTATATGAACATTTTTAATTTAGTGTTTGGACACACTAACTACAAGCTCATTACCGGATCATATAATAGAAAGAGAAGTCTATTTGATTGAAAATCTGTACGTAAGTGAATCTGTAGCTATTAACCTTACATGCACGTGTAGGAGTCGCTTGCGCGTATGCCATGACCTTTTACAGAGTGCAATTCAACACAGTATTATGACATTTATCGACTATTCATTCTACCTTGCACTGTTGATTTAGCGACAGTTCATGGTAGAAGAGAGTAATTACCAGATACGATCTACAGGGGTGCTGAAAGAAATTATTGATATGTATTTCGGAGGTTCTATAGGTTATGCAAATACAATATGCAAACTGTAAGAGGGCAAAAGTATTTTTATTCTTCATAAGAACACCACCTTCTACTCTCACTTGTCAGAGTCTGTATCAGACTGACGTCGGCAATTCACAGACGTAACTTGAGTACGAATACGTTTGTAACACATCTAGGTTTTTGTTTACGAAAGATTTGACATTTGACTAAAAGCTTGCCAAATGGCTTTGGCTACATGAAGTAAATTTGGAAGTATACTCAACATTCCTTTTCCAATACGGGGCGGCACTAGACTCGCAATCTGAGGGTCGCGGGTTCGAATCCCCGTCACACCAAACATGCTCGCCCTTTCAGCCGTGGGGGCGTTA